GCCGTGTCGGTCACTTTGTACGGAGCATTGCATTTAAAACGTGACCGACGGTAGTTGAACATTAAAATTGATATTTGCCTTATAACCAAATGGGTCAGCTGACAGATACTGTGTCCATGAATTAAGACGCTTCTTAAAAGTTTTTAAGAGTAATTGAAAACAAATGGAATAATTTGGGAAAGTAGTGCAATAAACATGCCGTTTAATATAAAATTATGTTAGTATTGTACATTTCTCATGTAAGTGAATTTTAATTCTTTTGAGAAATAAATATCTTAAACCATAAACGAAGACCCACTTTTGGCTTAGTTTTTAAGGATATCTCGAAAAAATGAAAATTGAAGATTCTATTAACTTTACTTAAGTAAATGTTCTATATTATATTTTGAAACACGTCTAGTTGTGTTTTAAAATGCTGTTGGAATTTAAAAATTGTTAAATTCGATTTTAGGTGAAAACAAAGAGATATAAATCAAAAAGTGAGCACCTTCTTGTGTAAAATTGCAAACCAATAAGATTGGTTTCAAACTATTTTATATCTCTTATAGTTTATAATCATGAAAATCCATTTATTTTTTCAGTTTTTCGATGTCAATAAAAAGTTCTCCATATTTTTTTTGCATATAACATAGCATAGATCAACTGCTGGCATTACCCTCTATCTGTTTGTGAATTATCATCGGACGGACACATGTCCAGACGGACAGACAAAATATTAAATATAATGCTTAACTAAAATTAAAAAAATATAATTTTGTATTTTTGTTAGTTGAATGGTTAGAAACATTAATTAAAACGAACTATTTGGTAACAATGATTAGAAACGCAAAACAGGTTAGGCACAGTGTATATTTAGTTATGCATTGCCTGCTATAATTTTGTAACTGTAAAACAAAGAATTTCATGATTCACTGCGTACTCATATTTTCCTTTTTAGTGTCAATCAAAATAAGTAATGAGCGACGATGGGGTGACAGATATAAGTCGTGATTGATAATGTCTCTACATTTTTGGAGCTTAACTAATGCTGTAAGTGCTATTAGATATTAATGATAAGCATTTTCATTGAAGGGCTGGCATGTTTACTCATGATAATATAGTCCACGTGAATAATAAGTATTAATGACTTTTATTGTGAACCGTATAAAAATTTTATTGCATATTTAATGGGTGAAAATTGTTTTTAATTATAACAAATTTAATTATAAGAAATTTAGATCAGTATAAATCGGTTTAAGCCATGTGTTTACCGATTGCTGCCTCGGAAAACCGTTATTTTGGGAAATACGATTTTTACTTGCGCTTTAATTATTATTAATCAAAATGTAGTGAAAATTAAGGTTCAATTCCATGGCCATCACTGAATTTTATTGGTAAAACACTGTGCCGGCAAATCTAAAAATTAGTTTAGATAGATTTGAATATATATATTTTTAAGTTCTACTTAGACGTCGTCGTGGGTAAAAACTAGTATGTAACAAATAATAATAAATAATAAAGAAATATGTTTACGTCGTTTGGGTGTTTTCCTGTTATTTCAGAAAGTTTTACGTTAGTTGTCGGTACCAGATATTACCTTCTTACCTATTTCTATTGTCAAGCAGACATGTACCAACTGCTGTGATGGAGCCTGCGTTTAGAGATCACATGCATACGGTTTCTGTTTAATTCTCGGGATTAGAAAGAATGTAATTAAAAAAGAAAGCTAGTTTTGGAAGTGGCTCAGGAATATATTATGACCTGTTAGTCACTTACTAATAACTATTTGATAGACTCAATTACCAATAAATTTAATTTTTAATAAAGATTATTATTATATTATTATAATATTATGGACATTTAGGCCTCTTCAGATTAATCTTTAGTTACAAGTTGTCGGATCACAACTTTCCTGTTTTTTCCCTTAACCATATTTTACCATACCCGAGGGATAAATTATGCCACACATTGTTTCTGTATGTACTAGCCAAATAAACTCAAGAGACAAGTGTGAAGAAGATTTCAGGGTCATATGGTACTAAACAGACGCATATTACTCTACCGCGTATAAACGTTTCAAACCACTCTCTGTGGACTTGGATATTGCGTATTAAAATATTATCATATTATCACTGCAACCATCACTGCAGTTTTGAAATAGTAGTGTACAGTGCAGCAGTAAAGGATACTGCTGGCCATATAAGGCAGCTCAGTGAGAGACTGGAAAGGACTTCTTCTTTCTCTTTCTTCTCTCTCTTTGTCTGATTGACATCATCATCATTTGATGAGTAACCAACACAGCTTAAAGGATCAATGAGTAGATAGGAAATTAAAGAAAAATTTATATCAGATCCTTTTGAGTCGACTTATAAATATTACAAGATCATGGTAATAATAATAACGTCATCTTAACAGTTACATTAAAAATAACAACCCCTATTTTACTTCCTTAGGTGTATCATATAATTTTCTTCTAATTTGAATGGTGCTACCTTTGAAGTATCGCCTGTTTTATTTAAAAAAAAACCGCGTATCACTCAAATATATCGTGAACCTTTTCATTTTTGAAGTAGTCTATAAACACACTAATAATTACACCGCCGTTACTGTTACAGCTTATCAAATCAGCCATATCATCTATCATTCTATCCTCTTATTTTGTTTTCCATAGTTGTCAGGCATGACGCCGCTGCAAATCTACTGATTTGTTTCTCTCTGTCGTCTGTGACGAACCCCAGGGTCGTATCATCCATATAAGTGAGTGGTTATTATTACACCGCCACTATACGGACAACTTTTTCAATTCAACAAAAATAAAGTTTGGTTCCCAATGTTGCAATAAATGTTAAGTGTTATTTTATAATTTTTACTACTCCAGTAGACTAGTAAGCGCTTTGATAATTTTTCTTAATATTTCGTAAGTTTATACCCGCGGGAAATCCTCGTACTTAAATGGCACGCATAAAATTAGTTAACGTAAGCGGATTCTTTTTTTTTTGGGATACTCTGTGGCAATCCCGGTGATATGATATAAACCCCGAGTCCAAACCCTTACAGAGGCATTAAGAAAAAAATATTGCAGTAGCACAGAGAGCAATGGAGAGTAGTATGACCGCCTATAAATGACAGGGTAGATCAGAAATATTGACCTAAAGAATTTGACAAAACTTCCCGATATACTCAAATGAACCGAAGATAACAGAAGTGGAGATGGTCAGGACATACGATGCGTGAGAACGATAAATGAGACTAAACGTCTGAGGCTTAGGAGGAAAGGGAAAGAAACCGGCGGACGATGCGGGCGGTATGGAGGAGCACCGCCTTCTGCATTTGAGCTCTGTACTGCCGGGTCCTGCCATTGCTCGTTGGCTAAGGATAGAGGGGTAAGTTCTTTATCACTAGAAATGACGCCATTATAGAATGGATCATCCGATCTCGCCAGGAAGTAATCACGGAGGATGCACACTTCGCGATTATGCATGGTGAGCGCGCACAAGAAGCCACGCCCACCATGCTTTCGCGGCAAGTACAGCCTCATTACCGACGATCTCGGATGATGCATCCTATGGGACGTCATTATAGGGCCTTTAGTTCAGTCTGACTCCACCTGAGTATGCCAAAGTTATACATGAGGACGGGCATGACCCATCAGTTATATGCGTGTGTCTTATTCACAACGGACAAAAGGCCGTTAAGCACTTTGGTCAAGCGTGCATAAAACACGTCGCAAACTGACTGTTTCATACCAGCCTCATCGATACCGATGTTCTGTGATCACCCAGGTATCGGTATTTTTCAGCCTCGGAAAGGGTCCTTAAGTTGACGGGCATAGATAAGTCTAAGCCCTAAGAGTTAGTAACCCTTCCCCTTTCAACATGGAGGACCGCACACTTATCCGTCCCCAGCTCTATTCTAATAGAATTGCTAAATTCACAAGTGATGTTTAGCAATTCCATAAGATGGGAGCGACTGGAGGCGAATAATTTGAGGTCATCCATATAGAAAAGGTTGGTCACTTTTGTACCTCCTTTCCGAAGTTGAAATCCCCTCCCGGAGCCCTCCAGTAAAGTACTGAGAGGGTTCAAATAGAGGCAGAACCAGATTGGACTCCGACATTCGCTCTGGAATATACCCCTTCTTATCCCTATGCGGCTTTCCGCAGCCATCATCTGCTCGCCTAGATGACAGAGGATCGTACTCCACTGCCCCATACACTGCTCGAGGAAGTCTCGAAATGTACAGTCAATCTTGTACAGCTCGAGGACCCTCTTTAACCATGTATGGGGCACCGAGTCAAATGCCTTTCTGTAATCTATCCAGGCGGCGGACAAGTTCCGACAGTTGCGTTTCACCACTTTGCCAATGACCGCATCAATGAGGAGTGGTTCCTTGGTTTCACGACCGCCGCCCCGACATCCATTTTAAGCACGCGACATCACCTGATTTGAGGCCAGGTGACGAGTGATTCTCGCGCTCGAAATGGATGTTAGTGTCTTGTATACGGTCGGTAGACACGTGATGGGGCGGTATTTGCTCGGGTCTGTGGTACCCTGATCTTTAGGAACCAAATGAGTGATCTCAGTAGTGAAGAGGCTCGGGAGCGACTTCTGGTTGAGAACCTCTTGAAAGTGTCGTGCGAGCACAGCATGACACACCAGGAACCCCTTCAGCCAGTAGTGATGCAGCCCGTCAAGCCCCGGACTTTTCCAGTTCGGGGCCCTACGGACCGCCTCAGCTACGTCATCTGGCGTTATGATGACGGGGTCCATGGGCGTGATACCCGCACACTGACTTGCCACAACTTCCGTCCAAGAGCCCTCGTTGTGGTTTACGGGCTCTGACCACAGGTTGCGCCAGAATGCGACCGTGTCGGCCTGATTTGGTGCTGGGCCCGTTCCACTTACTATTGGTCGCTCCAATGTTTTATAGAGCCTCTTCTTATTACTCTGGAAGAGACGATTCTTGTTGAACCGTGTCGACCTCTCGGTATATCGCCGAATCCGCTTTCCCCAAGCAGCGATTCACTGCTTCAGGTAGTCTATGCACTCCGTCAGTTTTTGCATTATATCCGTCTGGGACAAACTAACATTTGCCCCAGCAAACGCCATCCTGACGGTGCGCACAATTCTTGGCCTGGTATTGTCTGACCTGAAGCATATTAGTCTGCCGATGAGGGCCTTTGCGATACGTTCTTCAATTCTTGTTATCCAGCCTGGGATAGCACTACTTTGTCCAGTAGTGCGTCCAGCCGTGGAAAGTTTGGCGCCTATAATACGGCAGACTGCCAGTGCGGCGCCAAAGAAAATTGAGTCCGTCTCGCAAAGGTCCCGGCTGGCTTCCATATAGATCACCAGCATTGGGTTCAGACCCCTCACGATAGCCCGATTCCGCTTGCTGAGGGTTATGCGGGGAAGTCGCGGTCGATTTTCGAGAAGCGTACTCCGCGTTTCCAAAATCGCCTCATCCAATTTACTCCTCATTTGATCCAGTTCCAGTTCCTGGGCGACTGTTCCATCATCGTTTGAATCAACCAAAACTGGATTATTCACGGCTGCATCCACGTTTGTCGGTTGCTCTGCAAGTCGTGGCGCCGCATCCTCAGCCGTAGCATTTTCATACGATGAAGGAACAGCCTCACGTCGTAGCCGTTCGAGTTCGGTGACATCAAATGTATTTGAGCGCAAGAAATACCGAACTCGGTCTGCCAGGTTTTGCTCGGTGAGGGTTACAGATGGCTGCAGCTCAGCAAAAAGTCGATGCATCCTTGCCCGATACGCAAAACCTCCAATTTCTCCCCCTTTCGCCCTAAAATACGCCCGCAATGCGTTTCTGTCCATTTGAGTTATCCAACGCATGCGGCGTGCTCCACCAGTGGCAGGTGCCGATTACGGGGCCCGCGAAAACCTTGCCGACACCAAGCCAGCTAGTGGGGATGATCAGCCAGCTCCAGACGCGCCCTGGCGACCTCCAGGCAGCGGCCCTTCGCGCACTACCTTTTTTCCATCATCCATAATTTGGACGTCCATTAACGGGAGACGCCCAGGCCCGGCACCGTATCGTGGACGGCCATAAGCACAAACGGGCCTTTGTACCCTGAATTCTGCCGAGGCACGGCGCTCACACCTCTCGCAAGGCGCTGACTAACTGCGTTGACGTAGCAGTTTTGTCACTTAACTGTTACGTCAGCAGGGGATGGGGTCGTCAATTCCCTACGCCATTATTATTATTATTATGGGGTATCTATATAATTTTCTCACCTGGTTGGATTCTATAAATATATAATTATAAATTAAAATGAAAAGATAAATATACATAAATATCAATAAAATAAAATAAATACAAAAACTACATAAATAAATAAGATCCAACCAGATGCCTCGAGCCCTCGGCAGGGGAGACCAAACGGCCGAGGGTTAGGAGGAAAGGGAAAGAAACCGGCGGACGATGCGGGCTGTAGAGGAGCACCGCCTTCTGCATTTGAGCCGGGAGCGGTACGTCACGGAGTCCCAGTCGCCTCAGATGACCCGAGAGGCTGACTGGGATTAGCCCATTCGCAGAGACGACTACAGGAATAATTTCGGTCTGCATACCATCCCACAGGTCGTCACCTCGTGAGCCAGGTCCAGATATTTTGTTCGTTTCTCTGTTTCGGCTTTCACGAGGTTCTCGTCATACGGAATGGTAATGTCGACCAAAAATATCCTTGACTGTGCCCGGTCCATCAGCACAATATCAGGCTTATTCGCAAGAATAGTCCTGTCTGTGATGATGGCCCGGTCCCAGTAGAACCTGACGTGGTCATTTTCTAGCACGGCTTCCGGCAAGTACTTGTAATACAGCAATTTTCGGTCCACGAGACCGTATTTCAGAGCGAGCTCCTGGTGTAGAATTCTGGCTACTAGGTTGTTCCTGTGCAAGTACTCAGAGTTAGAAAGCGCCGAACAACCAGAGATGACATGCCTAAGTGACTCCCCGGGATGGCGACAAGCTAGACAGACGTCGACAGTGCCATCTTTTATGTTGTATCTTCGATAGTTGTTGGTCTTAATAACCTGATCCTGTATTGCACAGACAAAACCCTCGGTTTCCCTGAAGAGGTCACCGAAACGTAGCCAGTTGAGGGAGGCGGCTGTATCTACGTGAGGCTCATGTAGAGCCCTGTAGTATCTCCCGTGGAGCTCCTTCTCCTTCCATACGGTCTCCAGGTCGGAAATGCTCTGTACTGCCGGGTCTTGCCATTGCTCGTTGGCTAAGGATAGAGCGGCAAATCCTTTATCACTAGAAATGACGTCATTATAGAATGGATTATCCGATCTCGCCAGGAAGTAATCATGGAGGCTGCACACTTTGCGATTATGCATGGTGAGCGCGCACAAGAAGCCACGCCCACCATGCTTTCGTGGCAAGTACAGCCTCATTACCGACGATCTCTGATGATGCATCCTATGGGACGTCATTGTAGTGCGGACTTTTCTATCCAGGGCCTTTAGTTCAGTCTGACTCCACCTGAGTATGCCAAAGTTATACATGAGGACAGGCATGACCCATCCGTTATATGCGTGTGTCTTATTCACACCGGACAAAAGGCTGTTAAGCACTTTGGTCAAGCGTGCATAAAACACGTCGCAAACTGACTGTTTCAAACCAGCCTCATCGATACCGATGTTCTGTGACATACCCAGGTATCGGTATGTTTCAGCCTCGGAAAGGGCCCTTAAGTTGACGGGCATAGATAAGTCTATGCCCTCAGAGTTAGTAACCCTTCCCCTTTCAATATGGAGGACCGCACACTTATCCGTCCCCAGCTGCATTCTAATAGAATTGCTAAATTCACAAGTGATGTTTAGCAATTCCTTAAGATGGGAGCGACTGGAGGCGAATAATTTGAGGTCATCCATATAGAAAAGGTGGGTCACTTTTGTACCTCTTTTCTGAAGCTGAAATCCCCTCCCGGAGCCCTCCAGTAAAGTACTGAGAGGATTCAAATAGAGGCGGAACCAGATTGGACTCAGACATTCGCTCTGGAATATGGGTATACCTTCTTATCCTTATGCGGCTTTCCGCAGCCGTCATCTGCTCGCCTAGATGACAGAGGATCGTACTCCACTGCCCCATACACTGCTCGAGGAAGTCTAGAACTGTACATTCAATCTTGTACAGCTCGAGGACCCTCTTTAGCCATGTATGGGGCACCGAGTCAAATGCCTTTCTGTAATCTATACATGCGGCGGAGAAGTTCCGACGGTTGCGTTTCACCACTTTGCCAATGACCGCATCAATGAGGAGTGTTTCCTTGGTTCCACGACCGCCGCCCCGACATCCATTTTGAGCACGCGACATCAACTGATTTGAGTCCAGGTGACTGATTCTCGCGCTCAAAATGGATGTTAGTGTCTTGTATATGGTCGGTAGACACGTGATGGGGCGGTATTTGCTCGGGTCTGTGGCACCCTGATCTTTAGGAACCAAATGAGTGATCCCAGTAGTGAAGCTCGGGAGCGACTTCTGGTTGAGAGCCTCTTAAAAATGTCGAGCGAGCACAGCGCGACATACCATGAACCCCTTCAGCCAGTAGTGATGCAGCCCGTCAAGCTCCGGACTTTTCCAGTTCGGGGCCCTACGGACCGCCTCAGCTACGTCATCCGGCGTTATGATGACGGCGTCCATGTGCGTAATACCCGCACACTGACTTGCCACAACTTTCGTCCAAGGGCCCTCGTTGTGGTTTACGGGCTCTGACCACAGGCTGCGCCAGAATGCGACCGTGTCGGCCTGATTTGGTGCTAGGCCCGTTCCACTTACCATTGGTCGCTCCAATGTTTTATACGGCCTCTTCTGATCACTCTGGAAGAGACGATTCTGGTTGAACCGTGTCGACCTCTCGGTATATCGCCGAATCCGCTTTCCCCAAGCAGCGATTCTTTGCTTCAGGTAGTCTATGCGCTCCGTCAGTTTTTGCATTATATCCGGCTGGGACAAACTAACATTTGCCCCAGCAAACGCCATCCTGACGGTGCGCACAATCCTTGGCCTGGTATTGCCTGACCTGAAGCATATCAGTCTGCTGATGAGGGCCCTCTTTGCGATACGTTCTTCAATTCTTATTCTCCAGCCTGGGATAGCACTACTTTGTCCAGCAGCGCGTCCAGCCGTGGAAATTTTGGCGCCTATAATACGGCAGACTGCCAGTGCGGCGCCAAAGAGAATTGAGTCCGTCTCGCAAAGGTCCCGGCTAGCTTTCAAATAGGTAACCAGCATTGGGTTCAGAGCCCTCACGACAGCCCGATTCCACTTGCTTAGGGCTAAGCGGGGAAGTCGCGGTCGATTTTCGAGAGGCGTACTGCGCGTTTCCACAATCGCCTCTTCCAGTGTACTCCTCATTTGCTCTAGTTCCAGTTCCTGGGCGACTGTTCCATCATCGTCTGAATCAACCACAACTGGCGTGTTCACGGCGGCATCCACATTTGCCGTTTGCTCAGCAAGTTGTGGCGCCGCATCCTCAGCCGCAGCATTTTCACCCGATGAAGGAACAGCCTCACGTCGTAGCCGTTCGAGTTCGGTAACATCAAATGTATTTGAGCGCAAGATATACCGAAATCGGTCTGCCAGGTTTTGCTTGGTGACGGTTACAGATGGCTCCAGCTCAGCAAAAAAGTCGATGCATCCTTGCCCGATACGCAAAACCTCCAGTTTCTCCCCCTTTCGCTCTAAAATACGCCCGCAATGCGTTGCTATTCATCTGGGTTGTCCAACGCATGCGGCGTACTCCACCAGAAGCGGGTGCCTATTGCTGGGCCCGCGAAGACCCTGCCGACACCAAGCCAGCTGGTGGGGTTGATGGATGCGAGGGGCTGCTGGGTGTGGTCGTGCAGCTCCTCGCGCTCGGCTGGCGGTTCGCATGCTGTCGCGTCGAGCGCCAGCTCCAGACGCGCCCTGGCGACCTCCAGGCAGCGGCCCTCTGCGCGTTCTATTTAATTCCATCATCCATTTTTAGGTCGTCATTTAGCGGTAGACGCTCAGACCCGGCACCGTTTCATGGTGAGGCCATGTGCACAAGCGGGCTTTTGCACCTTCAATTTTTGCCGAGGCACGGCACTAACACCTCTTGGCAACGTGCTGACTGACAGCGCTGACGTAGCGGTTTTGTCACATAACCGTTACGTCAGCGGGCGATGGGGTCGTCATTTCCCTACACCTTTTTATTTATTATTATTATTATTTTCGGTTATTTATAAAGTATTCTCATCTAATCATCCACATAAATGTATAAATATACTAACATAAATTATACATAAATAAATAAAAGCCCAATCAGATGGAAGCCCTCGACAAAGGAGACCAAACGGCCGAAAATTAGGGAAAAAGGGAAAGAAACCAGCGAACTATGCGGGATGTATCGAGTAGCTCCGTTTCTAAATTTGAGCCCAGAGCGGTACGTCACGATGTCCTAATCGCCTCAGATGACCTGAGAGGCTGATTGGGATTAGCTCATTTCCAAAGATGATTACAGGAATAACTTCGGTCGGCAAACCACCTGTGGGGTGGTCTGTCGATCACCTTATAAACCAGACGCAGATATTTGGTTTGCTTATCTAATTCGGCTTTCACAAGGTTTTCGTCATACGGAATGTCAGTCAACCAAAATATCCTTGACTGTGCCTGGTCCATCAGCACAATGTCAGGTTTGTTCGCAAAAATAGGCCTGTCTGTGTTGATGGTCACAGAACAATAGAATGTGAGCGACACGTGTTTCACGTTCTCT